TATGTTCAAACGTGTCAGCCTGCAGGACAATTTGATGGGGAAAGCAACAAGCTGGCTTTTGATTCTCAAGGATCCAGATGTTAGCATAGGTCAGGGGTCAGCAATCCACAGCCCCTGGAACCGCAGGTGGCTCTTTCACCCCTCTGCTGTGGCTCCCTGCCACTCAAAATATGTGTTCACAACTGCCAATGTGCGACACCCGCACATTGCATGCGACTTATGGAGGGTTTTGACCCACAGTAGGCCAAGCATGGATAAATCCAAGAAAGGTTTCAGAAGAAAATAGAATATTGAATTCAACTACATACTGTGAAGTGGAGTGGAGTGGAGTGGAGTGGAGTGGAATGGAATGGAATGGAATGGAATGGAAGGGAAGGGAAGGGAAGAGAAAATAGAATAGAATAGAATAGAATAGAATAGAATAGAATAGAATTCTTGAATAGAATTGTTGAATAGAATTATTGAATAGAATGGAATGGAAGGGAAGGGAAAATAAGAATAGAATAGAATAGAATAGAATAGAATAGAATTATTAAATAGAATGGAATGGAATGGAATAGAATGGAATGGAAGAGAAAATAGAATAGAATAGAATAGAATAGAATTGTTGAATAGAATTGTTGAATAGAATTATTGAATAGAATGGAATGGAAGGGAAGGGAAGGGAAAATAGAATAGAATAGAATTATTGAATAGAATGGAATGGAATGGAATAGAATAGAATGGAATGGAAGGGAAGGGAAAATAGAATAGAATAGAATAGAATAGAATTATGGAATGGAATGGAACAGAATAGAATGGAAGGGAAGGGAAGGGAAGGGAAGGGAAGAGAGAATAGAATAGAATAGAATAGAATTATGGAATAGAATGGAATAGAATAGAATAGATGGAATGGAGGGAAGAGAAGAGAAGAGAAGATTCTTTATTGGCCAAGTGTGATTAGGCCCACAGGGGATTTGTCTCCAGTGCATAAGCTCTAAGTGTACATACAAACAACAAGTAATATAATCATAATAAGATGCATTTTTTGTACAAATAACTTGCAGACGGGCAGAAGTTGTTTTTGTATATTGTATATTATATGGTGTTTATTGTTGTTTGTTTTAAATTGGAAGCCATGCAAAGTTGCTTTGGAATNCTCTGTAAACCGCTTAGAGAGGGCTGAAAGCCCTATGAAGCGGTATATAAGTCTACTGCTATTGCTATTGCTAATGACCAGAGGGCTGCAAGCAACATAAATCCTTCTGTTCTCCGCCGTTCAGTCAGAAGTCAAGAAGCTTCTTGGATGAGAAGCAAAATGTCTTCTCCTTCAATGAAAAAACAATCCAGGTGCCTTTTGAAGAAAAAAAAAAGACAACTATGAGCTGGATGACTGAGAATCACCACAGATGAATGAGATGGACATTTGCAGGACTCAAAATAAGAAAACCAGCTTGTACAAAGTGTGAAATGTATACAATCTGATCAAGTATGTATCCTGAATTAAAATTCCCACATGTTCAGTACCTGCCAGCTATTTGCTACAGCAATCATTTCTGAAATATAATAAAAATATAATTTCTACCTTTGTTCATCCTAGTTTTTGGGGAGTCTACGGTCAAATTCATCTGACACTTATCCCTGGGGTTTTGCTCAAAGCCATCAACTTTTAACATAATCTCATTCTGGCACAAATATCAGAAATATTTCTCTCTCTCTCATCTCCAGGATACAGATTCTGAAAACCTTTATGCCTGCACAGGAGGCTACAGCCATAGCAGGGCCAAACATTTCCACACAGAATCAAATATTTGGAAGGAATCATTAAATCGATTTTGACTTCCTTCCTCAACCGGATGTCTTCCACATGTATTGAGATTAAAGGTAAAGGTTTCCCTTGCATATATGTGTTAGTCATTCCCGATTCTAGGGGGCGGTGCTCATCTCTGTTTCAAAGCCAAAGAGCTGTCCAAAGATGTCTCCGTGGTCATGTGGCCAGCATGACTAAACAGCGAAGTCGCACAGAATGCTGTTACCTTCCCACCAAAGGTGGTTCCTATTTTTCTACTTGCATTTTTACGTGCTTTCGAACTGCTAGGCTGGCAGAAGCTGGGACAAGTAATGGGAACTCACTCAATTACGCGACGCTAGGGATTCAAATTGCCGATCTTTCTCATCGACAAGCTCAGCAACTTAGCCACTGAGCCACCGTGTCTCTGTATTGAGATTACAAACAGCCAAAATGG